GGGCTCACACTCTATATTCAAGACATTGCACATCGCAATCAAATCGCGAACTACTGTTTGAGTGTTACAAGCACCACCCAAGCTCCTCCTTTTTGAAGTAGAACGACCTAAAAGAGTTACACTGATTACGTACAAAGCTGCAACTTTCATCGCCCGCGACTGCCACCTAAAAGCACCAACAGTGATTAGGCCTATTCAACGGTTCAGCATGTCATGGAAAACTTCAACAAGAAAACATTAAGACTGGGAGTCAAAAAGATGACACTCAAGCACTGATCCAAGAGCAGCACGCGTGATACGATGTTTAGGTATGCGGCGAGCAAATCTATGGTGATTAAAGTCCACCGAGCTTGTGCAAGTCCTGCGTAGTAGCAGCAAAGGGATAAGCTCACGTCGCAAAGCCGAAAAGCTTTTAAGGGGAGAGGCTACCCTGGAGACCGAACTTTTTTTATTTTTTGAGATATCTGGATGAAACTTTCAGGGGTTGTTCACTACAATAAAACTAGCACAACTGCTAAGTTTCACGAAGCTGTGTTTCTTAGTTCCAGAGTTATTGAGGTTTAACTGGGTGCTTCTGAGGAAGAGTCGTGAGAAATCCCAGGACATAGTAGAAAGCTGAAATTCATTGTGGTCATTCCTTGATAGCTATCCCAGGGCGCTACAAAGCCGTTTTTTTTTTATTCCCCCCCCCCCCCCCAAAAATTTTCACGCAACTTTGAATTTGATGTAACCAGTAATGACCAGATTCATCAAAAATTAATTGTTTATTATAAATTAACAGCACCAATTTTCAAAAAAAGGAGCTTGTTACGCCCTTGCAAGGTCATTCAGGAACAGAATAAAAAAAACGGCACACAAATCTGATGAACGGTTTTCGAGAGAGAGAGAGAGAGAAACAACTTTTATTGAAACGGCAAGTGTTAGAGGAGTTGACTCCCCTCCCTTAGATGGCAGCTAGGAGTCCTTGGGCCCTAGCGGCATCTTCGGCTTGCCTGATGACCTGTAGTTGGTCCTCGATGCTTGAGCTTAGCAGCGCGGTCTCCCACTGCTCCGTATTCATGTATGTGTTTGGCCCCTTCACGATGTTGGGGCAAGCCCAGATAATGTGTTTGAGGTCCGCCCGCTGATTGCAGTGTTTACATCTGTCTGAGTAGAGGTCCGGGTAACAATGATTATAAGCGATTGGGTTTGGGAACGTGTTTGTTTGTAATAGGCGCCACGCTGTCGCCTGCTGCTTATTTAATGAGGAGTGTGGTGGCGGGTAATGCTGCCTCCCTAATCTGTAGTGCTTGGTAATTTCGTTGTAACTGGACATGCGGTCTCTCTCCGCACGCGGGCTCCGCGTCATTCCTGCCCCTGCTCGGCTCGCTAACTCTCGAGCTAGGGTGTGTGCGGTTTCATTGCCCGGGAGGGAGGAGTGGGCGGGCGTCCATATAACATAAACGTCGCGCTCTCCGCGAAAGTTATTTAAGATTCTTAACGCCTCTTTCGAGACCCTTCCGTTAGCGAAGTTATGAATCGCGGTTTTAGAATCACTGATTATGACGCTGGCCCTTGTGGACGCAAGCGTCAGCGCTATGGCCGTTTCTTCAGCGATTTCCGAATTTCCTGTTTTAATGGTGCCGCTAGCAAGCAGGTGGCCCGCTTGATTTGAAGCGACTATTGCCATGTGTCGACCGTCTGTATATTCGAGTTCTTGCTTTCCTCAGCACCACGACCAGCAAAAAAAATCCGTTCTGAGAAAACAGGCCTAGAAAGTTCAAAACACGTGTTTTCTTCAAAAAGCTCCAGCACAGTAGCTAGAAGTGTCCTGGCGCACTCTTTTCTTCTTTTGCCTGGCCTCCATCTTCTCTTGGTGTCTTTTAGAATTCTTTTTTAGGCGTAAAGCGTCTTTTTCATGAGCTCGCTGGATGGCCAGATGACCTGGTTGAAGTCCAATGGAGTCCGATATCACTTGGGTTGCTTTGCAGCAGCCGGCATTGTAGCGCAGCACTGCTTCATGCAGTGCTGTTTCTACCGCGATCAAGGATGAGTGTTGTTCCTTCGGCATAAGAGACCACAGAATGGAGTGGAATGATTCTGATGAATTTTGCGTCTTCGCTACCAGGCAGCGCTGAAGAAGCGACTTTTGTGACAGTCTTTCGTAGATGGGCAGCATAGCTGCAGCGACATAGTCCGGTAGGCTGGGTTTATGTTTTGGCTGTGGCTCACGCTTTGCCTCTGCAGCTCTATGGCGGCACTACGATTGAGCCCCCTCTGGACAAAGTTCATGGTGAGGGTCCTGGTCAGTCGATGTGACGTAATGATATGTTGCCATCACTGCACGCTGCATGGCTGTTAGGTTAGTTGAATTGTTTCTCAGGGCCCAACCATAATATCCTGTCAGCTTTTCAATGAGGGCTTTAGTCAGCTTCCCCTTCCCACTCAGTGGCTTATCACTTTTCTGCACAATGTTTCGAAGAGCACTTCCAATCCTTTTCTGAACATGGTTCAGACATTATTCTTTTACAATTGGCACTAGCCCGTACACATTCTCTTCTGTGAGGGCAGCGAAGGTACAGCTGTCTCCGTCGGACACAGGAGTGGTGTACCGCAGGCCATGCTTGGATACAGACCGCCCAAAGAGAGTCAAGCCTGCCTCCACTTCCATGCTTCCCGATTTTGCATCTGCGTTTTTCTGGCAAATGTGGTGCTTCTGCCAGCTTTCGTATGCTGCATCTCCAGGTTTGGGCCCTGTTTGGCATCCAAGGCAGTGGTTTGAAAGAACTACAGCATCCAAGATGAGACCTGTAAAGAAGTCAATTACCGATCCCACTCCAATGTGTGATGTGTGACCCCGCTTATGCCATGTGCCATCGTACACTACGGTGATGTCCTTGCAGAAGCTGGGGTCCATTTCTTTATATGTTTTGATCACTGCTGTGGCAGAATCAGCATAAAACTTCTCCAAAGTGGTGGCCTCTGGCTTCCTGAACGTCTCTTTCAAGTGCTTTTGAAACGTCTTGTGGTGAAGACCTCTGTAAGAGACGTTCTTGGCAGCCCAAAAGTCATTAAGGGCTGTTTGCCCCTTGCCTATTTGCTTTATAGCCATTATGGCGCGGACATTTACATCGAAGGCCTGCGTGTCCTTTTTGCGGGGTGATGTCCATAATTTATCGACGGTGCCACAAGAGGCGCACACGACTCCAAGTTTTGTTGCAAGTCCAAGCTTGGTGCTCTCTCGGACAGTCATAGCACCTTTCAAACATTCTTTGCACACTGTGCGGCTGAGCACGACGTTAAAAATGTTCATTTGAACGAGCGAAAAATGTTCGCCCTCACTTGTCACTGCAGGTGCAAGAGCCGGCTGCATCAGTTGAAATTTCTTCTGCGTCGCCGGCGTAGACACGAGTTCAGCGCGAACGGCGTCACGACGTTTCGCATTCACATCGATTTCTTCCTTCGTTAGGAAACGCGTCCTCAGATGAAGCGACGGTCCACTCACGCTCGATGGCGGCACCGATTCAGACGAAGTGCTGGGTCCGGCGATATCAGAAGCACTCGGTGTCACATTGGATGGCATCGATTCGGAGCACGTGTCGAGCCCGGCGATCTCGGAAACACTCGGTGCATTTGCGGCTCCAGCCACACTCGATGTGTCGGATTCTCGACTGGCGACAGCCGACAACACAGTTCCGTCGCTGCAAGCGTCTACGCAGTCGGCACCCGCAGCAGAATAGCGGAATTTCGATGATCGTACAAGCCGCATAGCGCGCCTCCGCGCACCGGACTTCCGCACTGACTTCGGCTTCGTTGCCGGCATCGCCCGCAACAACAAAGACGAAAGGCACAGATAAGTGCAAAAAGAAAAAAAAAACGAGAGAAAATGATCGAAAAGATAGCACAAGGCGAAGAGCGGCTCGTAAGCAGACGTCTGTCGAGGCGGACGGAGCAGGGAGCAACAACGAAGCGAGCGCGCTGGACGCGCCATCGAGAGGAGCGACCGCCCCCGCTGCTGCACAGCAGCCAATGGCGGGCACGCTTTCTCCCGCGAGATATGAATGCGCTGCTCTAGCCAATCAGCGCTCCGCATCGCATCGCGGGAAAACGCCAATAGCGTCTCAACTGTGCTGCCGACGCCATTTTGCAAGGCGGCGAACGAGAGAGAAAGAATTCACGGTCAAAACAACACCAAGATGGCGCGGGACGACCGCATGGTCCAAGAATGGCGCGCCCGCGAAGTTTGGTGTGATTTCGGGATTTGCGTCTGTTTTGGACGCCGCGGCGGCCTCGAAAATAGTATTTTTTTTGCACTTTGCGGTTGAATTAGGTGCTGATAATTACAGAATAGGTAGTTTATGAGACATACAACCCAAAAATGTGGTTTTTCAAAAACCGACTTTTTCGCGATTTTTCGGTTTTCAAGGGCCGCGTCCCCCCTAAATTTACGGACGAGGTAGCAAAAACAATAAATATGCCGCTTTTCCTGACAGGAAACTCAATGTGCACTTGAGGAAGACACGATCGCGCGCAGTCGAAGCCACATTGGCAACAGCGCAAAGGTTACTCAACTGTTACTTAAACGCCCAGGCAAATGCCCTGCTTCCTCACTCGGCAAGCACGCACAGCTCTGCTGTGGTCATTCCCCCCCCCCCCCCCCCCTGCTTCAGTTAACGTGAGAGGGCGTTGAATTGCAACCATGCAAGTATGGCACAAAACTACTGATCCCGACTAAGTTTGCAGTGGGCTTATTATGCGCAGAAATAAAAAAAAGTGATTTCTCATGAACAAACTAGGAGTGTGCCTGTTATGCGGGTGAATATGGTAGATGCCACACTCAAGTAACATTCAATAATATTTTGGATAAAATTATTACCATAAAATACAAATGCAAGTCCATCACGTGTCAGGTGAGAACTCCTTGGCCTTAATGTGGATTTATGAAACACACATCAAGGCCAAGGAACTATACTTACAGCCAAAAAAAGCTACACGAACTCTTACAAAGCAATGTTACCTACCCCCAGACAGAAGCTGTCCTTTGGCAAAGGCAAGGGCTTGAACATCTCGCTTGTGACATGTTTTCTCCATTGACTTGGCCCACGTCTGTGTTTGACCTATCCTGGTAAACTTTACAAGCGATGGGTCCACACCAGATACAAACACATCCTTTTCATCCTGGAAAATAAAGGAAAGACTAGAGCCAGCTCAAGCAACTAACCAATGTGCACAGTGTTGCAATAATTTTTTTTTTCATAGGTACACATATGTAAACAAATCTTCCATGGTTCATTTTTTGGGTAGACTTTGCGCAAGAAATAAGTACCTAAGCAAGGAAAGAAAGTAACAATAATGTCCAGGAGTCTCTCTCTATATTTTTTTTTGCTAAAGATAAATCTCAGCTCCTTAGACCTGTGTATCACAGCCAAACAGAGTATTAACACTAACCATATAAACAACATATTTATGGAACCAGCAAAGGCACAATGGCAGGGTACTGAACAGACACTCAAGTGAAACACGGAGGCATATGCCCAGCAAAGACACCCACATTACAGTGAATATCTCAGCACATGATATCATGCAATAGTCTGGTGGACTGCATGTCTCAACAGGCAGTGCTTGGGCAGAGCTGAAGAAACAGCAGTGACAACAGCTGCCAATTCAAGGGCTCTCAAGCTCTAACGAAGAAGCGATAAAACATACTGACCACTCAGTCCTGTCTGCAGGTGCACCAAAAATGCAGCACAGCGACTACTCATTAAAGCAGTGGGGAGTTTCCAAAAAGGGGCCAAAAGTTTGTGACCCACAAGTGTGTGGTGGCATAGGATCAAGAAGCTAAAAATTTTCTGTAGTAGGGCCAGAAAGGCAAACTACAATAAATAATAATTAAAACCCTTCACAAAACATTACCTCCAATAGATATATTTTCTTTAGAACTTCAATTTTCAAGGTGTAGTGGCAAAGACTTTACTGGTAATCTTCATTGATTCTGTGAGTCTGCATTCTTGCCACCATCAACAGAGAACCCAACTTGTAACCACCCTAGCTGTGTTGATAAACTTACGAGCTCTCAAACAGACAGATGAAAAGACATGAGTTTATTTTGCCGCCAATCTTTGTTGTATGCGCGAGATATGAGAAAGCAATAGTCTATCCCAGCATTTTTAATTCATAATGTCCTCAATTGCTTAGAAATTAGGTCAGTTTGGTTTAGGCTAAGAGCGATCACTTCAGCATGTGTTGCCATGTTTACTTTATGATAAGCTTTTGGGGCAGGCTTTTCGGTTCCCACTCATTTTGAAGAAGTGTTCACAATAGAAAACCCAAACAGCACTTTCGTCAGGCCACGCTATTTCTTTGGAGCCCCTTTCTTGGGCTGCCACACTTTGGGAACACATACTTTTTTTTTCATGTGCTAATGCCTTCGCTGATTTACTTCTTTCAAAAGCAGTGTGCCGGCTATGGCTCGTGCATCCGAGCATGCCCTCAGGGGGGCTGGTTTAAAACGATCACGTTTTTTTATCATTTCTCTTGCTTGGCATGTGCTGCCATGGTTCAGGAATACTACGTAAAATTTTTTTCATGTGCCGTTGGCTCTTTGCGCTTTCATATGCACATCAGAATGTGCGCACATGGTGTGGATGGTTTCAGCTTCGAACTTCAGGTGGTTATCGCTTCTTGCACCCGCAATGCTGATGGCTGTCTAGTTTCCGACCTTTCAAAAGGTCACCTTTTTTTTATTGCTCCACTGAGTACAATTACATCAGTTTCCATGCGGTGCTAAATTACACAAACGATGCCACCGTGGTTGCATTTGCCATTCTGGGCAAAAAACCAACCCAACTTGTTGGCGATAAGAAAAAGCATTATTATAGCTTTTTTTCTCGTTTTGCTTTCCGAATGAGCACACAACCTTAGTTTTCTTCTGTGCACTCACTCATGCAGTTCAGCTTACGCTATGGAAGTGCGCACCAGTTGCTGTGCTGCTAGGGAGTTAAGCAGCAATTCTTCCGATATGGACTATTCCCCAAAGGCTGAATCAGAATATTACAGTCGAAACCCGCAATAACGAAACCCCGCGAGTACGAAATTCCCGCGGCAATGAAATATTTCCGGATACCCGGCGAACGTTCATAGAAGCCCATGTATTACGTATCTCGCGCCAACGAAACGTTTTCGGACAGCGATCCTGCATTAACGAATTTTCTACCACAGTGCGGGCCTTATTTTACCCTCCCGCCGAAGGTTATCTGTCGAAAATATGCTCATATGCGTGTTATGCGCACTCAAAATTTGTAAACGTCTACTTTTGCTGCGCTAGCGTGGGTACCGCCATTTTTGTTTACTTAAGGAGGGACGCGGCTTCGGATCGCAAATACTGCACAGAAGTGCTTCGGAAAATTCATTTCACCCACCTAGGTAGCAAGACTTTTTCTGGAAATCGGGAGAAAACAGCGATTTTTAAAAAATTATGGCTTCGCAATGGCAGGGCCAGGAGCCGGCTTCTTGGGCTAATCGGAAAGAGCACTTCTCCGTGTTTAACTTTCCCGCCTCAGCTGGCTCCTCCCTTCAAAAACAAGCGCACAAAAAGCAAATATTTGAAGGTCGTTTAGAGGCCCTTGATTGGCTGTGGCCACCATGTTGCGTCAGCTCGCCTCGCTATTGGCCCGATGCTCGCTCCGGGAGATCGTCTGCTGCTTGTGCGTCGCAAGGGCATGGCTCTCGAAAATTGCTACTTCGTGACGTGCTCTCGGCTCGACGATCACTTAAGATATAATTACACTTTAGTTAGGAGCAGTAGGCGGATGCGCAAATACTACGAGCGCGGAGCGTCATCGGAGTCATCTTTAGCCCTCACTCCGCTGACAGCGAGACTGCGGGCAGGAACGACGCACTAGCGCACTCGTGGCGACGTGTTTCGTCGCAAGCAACGAAGCTGTAAGCAGCAGCACGGTCAGATTACTACGAGTGGCCGCACCAGATGCACGACCAGATTACTACGAGCGGGCGCGCAGTCTACGAGCGCGGCGCGTCATCGGAGTCGGCTTTAGTCCTAACGCCGCTGACAGCCAGACAAAAACAACCTGCGGGTTTTGGATGCGCTGGGCACCCTTCGCTCTTTCTTTGGCGCACATGACGACGACGTAGCAATAGACCACTTTTTACAGTGCGAAGGGAGAGCTTTGAAGTTGTTGCATGTCAAGGGTCGGCAAAGTAAGTTGACTGACTTCTGGCAATAAATTTTCGTTCTGCTGGCCGTATCACTGTTTTTATGTCTGATGCTTGCGGCGACTGAATTCTCGCGAAAACGAAATTTTTCGGTTTCCCCGGCGATTTCGTTATTGCGGGTTTTGACTGTATTTATTGAATACAAGTTCATCAGACAAGGATCTACTTACGAGTTCATACTCGGACAGTGACGAAGGAGCAGCATCTCAAAAGGATGTGCGGCGAGCTGATCCGTACAAGATCAAAGGTCATTCCCCAGTTTGTAATGTTGGAGCAAAAACATTGTTTACGAGAAAGGTACTCTGGTATGCTTATTTTGTATGTCTATACGCTATGTTTAATACAACACACAAATTCCATTTATAAAAAGTTGTAAAAGTGTGTTTCTTTAGGATTTTGCTTGATGTTATTCATGAATATACCATGTGCGCATAACAAAAACAAAAATGTTTCATCACTTTACGATCATGCAAAAAAAAAAAAAATGGCTTTTTTTTTTCTGAAATAGAATTGCCTGAAGAATTGAATTCATCAGTAAAAAAATTACTCACTTTCGGAGTGCATTTTACAAAAAAATTTGATCCTTATAGGGTTAAATCCATTTCACCTTGAATGCACCATACATATTAGTATAATAAATGAATGAATGGAATTCGTAGGGCTTGTTTCTTGTTTGTTTTGGCACAAGCTCAATAAAAACTAGCAGATAATGAAGACAAAGAAGGTTCTGTATTGAACGTTAATTTTACTGTTAATATTATTTGCTGGTTTTTATTAAGGGTGCTTCAAATCAAAGATCAAACAAGCCCTCAAAAATTCCCTTCTTTCATTTATTTATGGCAAGGTCTCGTTTCAGCAGATTTGATGTCTTCTGATAGTGTGTGAGGGCTTATTGGTAAACTTCCCACTCGTTCAAGGATCACGTGCTGTGCGACGCCAGCTGGCGGAAGAAAAGGGTGTTCCACACTCACCATCATGGCTGCGAGAAACACTGACTAACACTCCCAGGTTTGCATGCACATAAATACCCATTAAAATGAACGAGGGGACAACTACCATGGTAGGTCTAATCACAAGCCTGCAGGTTTGGTCCCTGCCGGTGAAAAGCTGTTTTTTGGTCAGCTTTACTTTCTTCAAATCTATAGCAAAATTACAATACACTTTAAACAGTAAAATTAACATCTGCTGTTATATTTTCCTTGGCTTCATTATCTGCTCGTTTTTATAGATATAATATTCGTGACACATGGCATTGCTGATAACACACACTGTCCTCTGTAATAATTACACAGACACCAGTAAAATCTTTCTTAAACTAAAAAAAATATCATTTAAGGTATTCAACAAAACTCCTGCACACATATTCAGCAATATTAGTAACATTAGAATAGTGGCACAACGGAATAAATCTGCTTACCTCACTTAAACAAAGTGCCAGAACATCAGCACTGTGTTCTTTGAAGCTCTGCAAGAGTCAAAGTAGAGAAACAATAACTCACTGCACACTGCCAAATCCCCAAACACAGCAAATAAAAATACATCAGTTAGTGCTTAATGCAAGCACTATTGGGATCAGAACAAAAGTGGAAATTTTGTGAAACTACAGGAAAAGAAAAAAAAGTGTGTATATATATATCCGTCTTGAATTTATTGAATTTGTTCAGTAATGTTTTTGAAACAACCTAACAAGACATATCAGAAAGAGGCTTTGCCCAAGTAATGGTACGCTACACAACACCCTCGGGGGCTATGCCTAACTAAAACTACCTTTGGGAGTCGATGACCAAAGTTATGATTTGATGTAGAGCCAACGACACCAAATAGAGTCTTTCAATAGCTTTAACAGATGCAAAAATCAACCCTCACACTATGACATAACTTCATATGCCACAAAAAGCTGATGCACACTGTCACCCCAATGAAAGATAGGACATCCTTCTGCACAGTTCCACTAGTGCATGTTTAATGTTCAGACAGACCATTTTACCACGGTACAGTTATACCCCTGTCACACGGGCACCCGTGAAGACCGTTTAACTCCCTCGTCTTTACGACAACGAAGATGCGGTTGGTGTCACACGACCACCCTTACGCAAACGAAGATAAACGGAGCATTACGCAAAGGACGTTCAACGATCTCCCTTCGCAGCGAAACGAGGTACTCTCGTCCTCAGCAGTCTAGAGGTCAAAGAAAAATTTCGAGCACTAAGTGGCCGCAGTGAAAGAATATTACATTTTAGCAATATTAAACGTTCTTTCGTTGTAGTACTCATTCACATCGCGTGTTTGTTTACAATATTTACGCCCGCCAGAGTTCACTTACTCTCAACACCGATGCCCTACACACCGCGCCTCGCGAGACGGGCCGGCCGGCGCCAGCCGATCAACGTCATTACCAGCGCAATATCGCACCACTTCCTCACGTCGTCCGCTGTGTCACTCATGGCTGAAGAACACAAAATGTGCGCTCACGAGGCAAGGAAGCATAAGAACTTTCGTACCGGGCATGTACACAGGCAACAAAACAACTAAAAGCACAATGTGGCCAGCGTCACTAGCAGCATTGCTACATTTAGCAAATGCATTTTTATTTGAAATTATTTTTAATGGTTTGTTAGTCGCATACCCACTTTATAGTGCTTTTTTGTAAAAACCGCATAACGAGGATTCACAAAAAAATCAATAGGGATCAAATTAGAATACTTTTTCGAAAATCAAACAGTGCCAGCTGAGCCCTTTCGCGGCAACTGTTACAACCTTGTCATTGCCGTGTGACACTGCCACAACTCCTTCTCCGTCGAACCCCCTAGGGGAGATTTACGTTGACGGTGTTCAACGGAGTTTGGTGGTGGCCGTGTGACAGGGGTATTGAACCTGCTTATAACGAACATCCATATAACAAATTCCTCGATATAACGAAGTTTTTCTATTCTCTGCCGTTGCTCCATAAAAGCACATGTATTTTCGACTTCTATGTAACAAAGTAACAGTGCGAGACAACCTTGATATTACGAATTTTCCCCATTGACAATTGGGGAATTTTGCTCTGCATTTTGGTGCGAGCATGCATTTTCCGTGGCTGCCCTGCGCGCACACGGCACACCAGACGAGAGCGAGCCCTCGTGCCTGCACCCCACGAGCCGGCGTTGCCGCTATTCTTGCCGCCACGGGTGCATGCGCGGGTGTGCCCCTCCCCCTTCAAACCAAAATAGAAAAAGAATACTTTGGCGTCTTGGCAGTACTATGCTTTTAGTTACCGTCCCATATGTGAGGCCGCGCTGCATATAGAGGGTGCTTTACCAAATAATTTTCCACGGGATCCGTGTATGTGTTCGTGTCATTCGCTCTTCGTTTTCGACGTCATGCGCGCATGCATTGTTTCACTGTGCGCGCATGATGTGGCCCCACTGACTACCTTCAGCTTTGCTTTTTTAGGGGCGAAGCTCCTTAGGGCGTGGGCTGTGCGTCCCCTGTAGCCTGTATGTAGCCACCTTTAGTTTAGTTCTTGCAGTGTTCACTAGATGGCGGTACCGTCCCCTGTATGTAGCCACCTCTAGTTTAGTTCTTGCAGTGTTCACTAGATGACGGTACCGTCTCCTGTATGTAGCCACCTCTCGTTTAGTTCTTGTAGTGTTTACTAGATGGTGGTACTTGTAGCTGATGATGAAAAGATGCAAGGTGTTATAAACTAGAAAGCGGTACTTGTAGTTGATGAAAGACGCGAGATCTTATAAAATAGGAATGATGTCACATATGGCGCGTGTCATTGGTTGAAGGCAATCGTTCGATTTAGTGCGGCGACGTACGCTAGGGGGAGCGTTGTAATAAAATCCGTTCGCCGTTGGCGCGCGCTCGGAGTCGCCGGATGGATAAGGCTGCACAGCGGAGAGAGCGCAAGGCGGCAGCAGCGCGCGCTCGCAGACAGAATCCCGATGTGCGAGCGCGCGAGGCAAGGGACATCGCAAGCCATCCATCGTCTAAGAACAAATAAAAGTTGATTTGTGTATATACACACACAGCGTTTCTCACGTCTTTACATGATGATCGACTGGGCGAATTACACGAAAGATTCACAGTTTACCGATGAATCCCTCCGGAGCTTCGCCCATTCATCATCATTCACCCCGTGAATATGCCGTAATTTTTTTTTAATTGTGACAGAAACTATATGGACAGTCCTGGCTGCTTTTTGCCGCCGCCATCATTCCCACTCTACGTATATATGTATGTATGTATGTATGTATGTATATATATATATATATATATATATATGAAAACTCAAGAAAAGAAAAGCCACCCACGCTCCGTGCTTGGCTTGTTACGATGCGCTGAAGCGCACTTATCTCCCACGCATACTTTGCCCCGCCAATGGGGGGAGAAGGGCATTAGATGCCTGTGCGCTCCACTCGTGCATATCCTTTGCTGGGAAGAATCGTGTGCCTTTGACCGGAACGATTGCGTTTAGTTGCCGGTCGCACGAAGACCACTTTGCTCGCTGGACAGGCGCCTTTTGCGAAAAGAGTGCGCTTTTCAAGCACAGCGAAGTAACAACTGGGGAAAGGTTGTTAGTTTGTTCTCGTCCTGTGTATGTGTTGTTTTTGTGCATCATTTGTGCGTGAGCACCGCGCTGCACGATTCGACCTGCTTGCCATTCTCAGCGTCTCATTCCAAGTTGCTGCTATTGCATTTATTGCTTCACCCTTGGGGTGAAACTGTGACTTTTATCTGTTTCGGACAACCGTGTCGTCACCACCAAGGGGATATCGGATTAAGCGCTGATGGAAAATCTCAGAAAACACAGTGACGACAGATCTTCGGAGGTAGACTCGTCATGCGCTGCCGTTTTGCGCCGCGAGTTCGCAAGCTGGTAGCTTTCGCGATTAGCCAATTAGTTCTGCCAACACGACAACGCGTTGAATGCAATGCAATGAACGTGATAGCAAAAAAAATGTAACGTAAGGCTGGCAGCTAACTCTTTTGGATCCGATATGGCGGAACTCCTTCAAAACGCTGGTGTGAGCAAATACGGCTGCTCCAAGAAGAAGTTCTCTTTTCACGCAGTCCCTTCCTTTTAAAACCGCACTGATACTTGCCGAGATAGCAAGGGCACCAGCGATCGCGACCACCCTTAAAATACAAAATCATTATTGCTACTCGAACGACCCCCCCCCCCCCCCTCTCAACGTTGTTTTATGCTTGTTCAAGATCGGTGATTTACTTTCTGTGTGAGCACTCGACGGCAATTCTAACACGCGGAAGATGTTATCTTGTACACTTTCCAGGCGATAAGGATGGGCCAACTCATTTGATCTGTGCTGCAGCAGCGCTCGCGCTCTTTTACCTGCTCGTGAAAGTTACGATGCACGGGGGCATGTTATCAATTCGTAGTTATTACGTAACAATGCAGCGACGCCGACCCCCCCCCCCCCGAGAGTGTCCATATATTTGCTATAGCAATATAAACGCAGTTTTTTTTTACTGTAAAACAAGAGTTTTGGATTAGCTCGGCCTTCAGTCTCACTTTTGTTTAATTTGCGCGTTTATTTTCCTAATTTTCCTACCGAACCTACATATAACGAAATCCTCGGGAATTTACCAATTTCATTATATCCAGGTTTAACTATAGTTGCTTTGCAAGACAAGAGCCAAATTTTAAAGCAACTGAAGCAGCCTGCTTGCGTGACAAAGCCATGGGCACGAGTTCCATTCTGGCTACACTGGGCACAACCAAACGGATCTTAAGGTGTTAATGCTTTACCTGACAAGTGATCAGTAGCAGTGCAAAAAATATAAGTGGGCCATACAGTTGAAACTGATGCCTACAGCTTAAATTTCAAGCATATATGCGTGAAGCACTTCAAAACAATCAGTATCATTTGTACAAATGCCTTTTAAGATAAACGATGATGCTGTGCCACTGCTAAGAAAAAAGCCATCCCTGAGCCCTAACGTCTTTCTACGAGATTTTGAAGGCCTTTAAACCTATTTACCCACCATGATGATCCCTGTTAAACAGCTTCCAAAGCTGTCGTGTACAAGTAAAAAGCCCTGAACTGCTCAACTCTTACTCAACTCTTAGAGACAAAAGAGTCAGATACTGTGCTGTTTTCTTTCCAAATTAAAAATACACAGAAAAGATTTGACAGTGGGTGCCACCTCAGATTTCTGAAAATGCAAGGTTAAGTGTGGATCTATTTAATTAATTGGCAGAACGTCAAACCACCCCAAATGAAAATAACACAAGCAATGCGAAAGCATGTTGCTGTACGTATATACATACGTGCATGCACAAACATGTTAACATGCTTTCGCATATCATATATGCATGCTGCTGTTTACTCTTGACGAGTGGGCTGCTACTGTTCAGTACCGTATTTACTCGCATAATCCTCACACTTTTTTTTGCCGGAAAACTGATGCAAAGTTGGGGGGTGCGAGAATTACGCGGGGAAAACTTTCCACGAAAACGTAGAGAGCGAAAAAGAAAACGAATTAGCCGCAAATCGTGATTCTCACACCAGCAACTTACAGAAAGCTCTGAGAAGTACTAATTAGAACTTACCTCAACAATAAAAACAGAGGTTCAACACAAGAAAAGATTTATTTGAGACACAAAAAGTGGAAGCAAATAGTCGAGAATTAGAATACCACACGCAAAGCTTGTGGGCGTAGCGGTAGCGTTCGTCGCTCAACAGGAGCCCTCAAAAGATAAGCGCAGGACGTCAGTATTGGGCTGATGGCTATTTGACAGAATCGTCCCCAGTTTCCTTCTGAAGAAATAAAGTTTACCATCAATCCCAGTTTTAAGGCACACAGCAGGCCCAACGCGTCTTGGTGGCTTTCAGCTGCCGTCACCAGTAGCGAACACAGAACTCATAGGCTCCGAAGAGCCTACCAGCGGCCCTGTTGCCGTTGTTTAGTGCATGATCCATCACTTGCAACTTGAAGCTGCCGTGTAGCTTCAGTATCGCCCCATAACGTGCCAAGATTACCGACACAACAAACAAAACACGCCGCAACGCGCACTGGCCACTTCGGCTTGGCTTGGATTGGATTGAATCTTCGTGCAATAGTACGCTTGATGCTTAAGAGATGGTGCCAGATGGCATGTACTATCATCATCAGTGGCTGCAACGAGCAGACGACATTATTGCGGCAGTTTTCGGGGGTGTGATAATTACTCGAGGAAAAAAAATCGTATCTTTCTTGGGTGATGCGGGGGGTGCGAGAATTATGCAAGTGCGAGGATTACGCGAGTAAATACGGTAGTTACATTTCGGTGCCTTTTAGTACGACTAGCAACATAGAACATTGCACTTACAGATATTAATGTTGCAGTTTGTCCATCCCAGAATGATGTCCTTCCATAAGAGTCTCCTGTGATTATTGTGAAGTCGCTATATACAGAAAAGAAAGTAAAGTCAATTACGCAGATTCGCACTGCTCCGTGTTGCCACTACAGCTTTATGACAAAATATATTTATTTATGATCAACATGCAATCAAAGCTCATGAATATGACCAAAGAACACTTTAGTGGTACTGAACACAAATACAGTAGACTCTCATTCAGACGAACTTAAAGATGGTCATTTGTTCGTCTTATTAGAAGTGCCCACAAATACGAAATGTTAACATGCCAAGTACATCCAAATATGTGTTACTTGAAAATTGTTGAACGGAGTAGGAGTTACTTACAATGGGTAGGAAAGAATAAGAAAAAGCATTTATTGGCCCAGCTTGACAAAAACTATGGCTTCAAGTAAAGTATTTACACAAAGCTAAGAAGCACTTGATTTCGAGAGTTCATAATATGCTCATGAATAAATTGCTACCCCATTTTTACAATAGAACCTGATATGTGGATTTCAACATCCCAAAACCAAAATATGATTATGAGAGACACTGTAGTGGAGGGCTCTGAAAATTTCGACCACCTGGGAATCTTTAATCTGCACCCAAATCTGAGCACACAAGCCTACAGCATTTTCACCTCCGTTGAAAATGCACCCACCGCAGCCGAATTCGCCAGTAACACAGGCTTATATATATATATATATATATATATATATATATATATATATATATATATATATATATATATATGAAAAAGAAGTGTATACCTAAGGGCTCGTTTTTCTGTGTTTTGACACAATATTAATGAGATCTAACAGACAGTAATGCCAAGGAATGTAGAGGGGAAGTTATTACAACAAATAAAATGTGGATAAGAAGAAAGAAAAGTGTGTGAAGAAATAACCAGCCGTGAGCAGGAATCGAACCTACGACCTTCGAATAACGCGAATTTAGAAGTGGGTGTGACAGTCAGCGCCATCTGTAAGCCAAGCCGCTGTGATAGCTAAGTGGTTAGAGCATCGAACGCGTTATTCGAAGGTCGTAGGTTCGATTCCTGCTCACGGCTGGTTATTTTTTCACCCACTTTTCTTTCTTCTTATTTACATTCCATTGGTTCTAATAACTTCCCCTGTACATTCCTTGGCATTACTGTCTGTTAGATATCATTATTATTGTGTCAAAACACGGAAAAACGAGCCCTTAGGTATACACTTCTTTCCCTTATTCATTAACGAGGGTCTCGTACTGGCAGACTTGGTGTCATTAGGTTGTATACGAGAGACTATTAATCAGCTGCCCGCTCGTAATAAGTTCACGTGCTACGTGACGCCACACATGCGCATAAAAGAGTGTTTCACACTCGTCGCTTGGCTTATAGATGGCGCTGACTGACACTCCTACTTCTGAATTCACATATAAACCCCAAAGAATAAGTGGATGGAGGGAAGGCCGCTGTGATAGCTCAGTGGTTAGAGCATCGAACGCATTATTTGAAGGTCGTAGGTTCGATTCCTGCTCACGGCTGGTTATTTTTTCACCCACTTTTCTTTCTTATTATTTACATTCCATTGGTTGTAATAATTTCCCTTGTACATTCCTTGGCATTACTGTCTGTTAGATCTCATTAATATATATATATATATATATATATATCAAATCTTAGCCGATTGACCACCGTGGTGGGGCTTTTACAATACAACTGTAGTACGACCCTATTTTCATGATTAGAAAAAGAAAAAAGGGAGAGACAGGCACAGTTTTCCTTTACAGAATAGAAAATAAACACTTTTGGCTGTTCACCTTCTATAAGCCTGTGTTACTGGCTATCACTTTTGGATATGCCTCCACTGCTTGGTGTTGCTTTGACAAAGCCATCATTAGCCGGGTTGCTTAAGAAAGTTTGCAAGCTTTTTTTAGAGGTTTGGATACTTTCCTATTTTCAGCCCGGAGTAACTTTTTCCGGCAGATGTACAGCTGAAGATCACCATTTGCGGTCCACAAAAAAAGACACAACTATATATAGAGTGCGAAATGAATTTCCTTTGTTGTACACTTTTATAATGAAAACGGCGCATCACAATTTGAACTTCACCGGAAACAAGTACGACGCGCACAAGTCCTATGCGCAACAATGCGCACTGACCCTAACTTGCGCTCGGCCATCATTGTATACCGGCGATGACAATGCATCTGACCTCTGTGACAGGAGTGCTGACGTCCGTTCCAAACGTGGTTTTGGTTTTATATGTGATTCTAATGCACAGCAAATTTTTGTTGTTACCATTGTCACTTTCATTCAGTTTTTTTTTTTTTTTGCCCCACCCCCTCCCCTCTAGCCAAGCTCCTGTGTTGTTCTGTTTTCGTTTGTAATCATGCTGGAGAAGTGAAGAATGTGGATTGAATTATAAACGAATGAAATGACTTAAGGGTTCTTGCAGTTAGGCAATTCACCTTAGGGAGATTATTTATTTTGCATTGAATCTATGAGAAACTCCTGAACACTTTTCGTTGCTTTCTTTGATGATAAAGCCAGCCCTTTCTGCAGCTACAGGCTATGGGTGAGGCAGATACCAGCTGTATGTGCTGACCTTTCTTTTCCGCTTATCTCACTGAATTTGTTTTGCGTCTTCGTGCCAGGAAGCTTGAGTTCGTCTTAACAGAAGAAGCCTGTTACATGGTTGGTCTTAAGCAGGCTTTTTTGCATTGAGTCTATGGGAAATTAAACAAACATTCCCGTGTTGTTCGGCTAAAGCAAGAATTCGTCTTAACGGGAATACTGTAAGTGCAGCCGAAATGTTCATGTCCAAAGCCCTCATCTGTGGGACACTACGCATCACAATAAGCATTAGGCATAATGCTGAGACATAGCTAAAAATACACATGAAAAGTAACCTTGGGGCCTCTTCTTTTAACGTCAACACACCTCTCACATCAGCTGCATTTTGTACACACTTCAGAATTTTTTGGAAAAAGTGATACTGACAAAACTGCGAGCAAAAATCTTGCCTAGACGGAGGCCCAACGATAATACTAGGAGGCACAATGGTAGCAGGCACAATCATAATATAAACATCATGCATATTCACTGCAGTTGAATTAATGTAGCAGGCGAGCTCTTGCTACAAGCTTGGAAGTCTGCCTTTTGAAACGTCAGTGAAAATAATAGACAAAGAGCCCCAAGAAATGGTGTCAAGTCACTGTACAGTGAACAAAAATATTTAAGCAATGAACTTATGACAATGACTAGAAGTCAATAATGAATATAAAAAGTATATTATAGAAGGATTATATTCTAAATGTGTAGCAGTAGTTACAGTAGCAGTACTGCCTTACTATAAACCTTTAACACAAGGTCACGAAGGCAATAACGTCAAGGTAGTGCCACATTGAAATAAAGAAATATGAATTTTCATAACAGTTTTCAGCTCACCATGATGGTACCTGACAGATGAAAACTCATGTCTTTCTTTTTTACACATTTTGCCTGCAAAAAGATGCTCAAAATTGGTACTGACCTTGTTACTGCCACGCACAACACTAGGGCTTCCTGGTTTTTCTCAATCTTTCCAACAGAAATTCTATCTATAGCCCGTCCTGTGTTGACATCCCAGATGACAATAGCACCTGGTGACCCAGAAACTATCATGTCCCCATCTTTGTTCCAAGCTAAGCACATGATACGACCTGAAATGTTGAAAAGTTATACCGAGATGAGAAAACAAATATAACATGTCTTAGCACTTCCCAAATGCTAACAGCACATATATAACGTCACACATAAAGGACAAGAAGAGAAATAATCATGAAACTCACAAGACAGAAATGTGAAGTAGCAGTCACACTAACATATATAAATTTTTTATACTGTCACGGGTTCGTGACGTCGACGAAGGGAGCAGACTGCAGGTCGAAAATGAAACTGTTCACAGTTAAAGCTGATTATAAAAAACCTCTATATAACTAATTCGTCGATATAACGAAGTTTTTCGATTTCCGGCTGTTACTCCATGGAAGCACATGTATTTGCAACCTCTATGTAGCAAGGTAACAGCAGGAGACAACCTTGACATAATGAATTTTCGCCACGGACGGACAATCTAGGCATTTTGCCCTGGATTTCGCCATTTTTGGCACGAGCATGTTCGGCGGCTAACCCACCGTTGACGAAGCGCGAAGTGGCGGTAGCGTGCTCGTGGCCCCGGCGACTTCTAGGCGAGAACGAACGGATGTGAGCAAGGTGGGCAGACGGGCACCTCACGAGCCGCTGTTCTCGCCGGCGCAGGTGCATGTGCGAATGTGCCCCCCCCCCCCCTCCAACTAAACCAAAAAGAAAAAAAAACTGCTGTTGCATTGGCAGTGTGATGCTTTTAGTTAGTGTCACATATGTGGGGCCACGCTGCATATAGAGGGTGCTTTACCGAATAGTTTTCCGCGATATCCGTGTAGTTCGCTCCTTGTTTTTGACGCTCTGCACGCGTGCATGGTTTGCATGCATGAAGTACGCGACTCCCGAGGACGTCCAGCTTTACTTTTTTTCCTTCTTTTTTTTTTTACTAGCGAGGAGATGACAGATTAGGTGCTGTGGAAACACTGAGATCACGGTGACAACGGTGGATTTTCAGAGGTCCACTCGTCACGCGCTTCTGTCTTACACCGTGGTGTGAGTTCTTGGGACCATAGCCTTCGCGATTAGCTCGGGCAACAACATGACGGCACGTTGCACGTAATGCAATAAATGCGATAGCGACAAATTCTAATGTTATACGAACTATATAGCTGGCAGCCAACTCTCTTAAATTCGATATCGCGGCACTACGTTCGTGTAAGCAAATACGGCCGCTCCAGGAAGAAGTGCTTTTGTCATAGTCTCTTCGTGTTGAAAGTGCACTGATGCTTGCCGAAATACCACGCGTGCCAGGGATCGCGACCACTCCCTTAAATACACCCCTCCCCCTCCACGTTTTTGCATGCTCGTTCAATACAGGTGGTTTCCTTTGTTTGAGCATTCGGCGGCAGTTCTAACACGTTGGGGGATGTTATCATATGTGCTCTCCAAACGATACTAGATGGGCCGGCTCATTTTATCTCTGCTTCAGCAGTGCTCACTTGCTTTTACCCGCTTGTAAAAGTTACGATGTGCGGGGGCATGTTATCAAATTGGACTTTTTACGAAACATGGCGGCGACGGCAAAAACCAGCCATGAGTGTCCATATTATTGCTATCACAATAATAACGCAGTTTTTTTTTTTTTTTTCGCTAAATAACTGTTTTGGGTTAGCTCTGCCTTCAGTTCCGGTTTTGTTAAAATTTTGCGCTTATTTTTCCAATTTTTGTACCAAACCTGCATATAACAAAATTCTCTTTGTAACAAATTGTTCCGGCAATTCGTCAATTTTTCTTATATGCCTGTTTAAATGTATTCAGTCGAACTTGTGGCCAGTCAATGAAAAGTCAGGATACAGCGATACACACAGCACTGATAGCGGTGAACAGAGCATCGGCCGTCGATCAACTGACAAGTTGGTAAAGCGCATCGGCATTTTTACACGTGCCATTGAATATTCTAGCGATATCGCTAGCAGCCACGTAAGTTCCAGAACAATCTGTAATGTTCGTGAAGTGGGTGTAATCTTTACAAAATGACCTGAGGCTTCTCGAACACTGCAGGTGCGGTTTGTGCTGAAAATTACTGACAGTGTAACAGGGCAATAATGAAACTTGAGGAAGGAATGTGGCAATACAATAAACTCTGTGTCGCACTAAAAATATATTATATATAGTACATACCCAGTATGTATATCAGGATTTTGATGGCTATCAGCAGGTTACTCACTCATAACAGCTTTAAGGACAATCAATCACAAGTTTAATATTCCCATAAGTAAAAGCTTGCTTTGCTACCAATTTGTGATTCTGTTTAATATATCGGCTGAAGTGATTCCATGCATCCTGACAAGGTCAAAGTAGTATTGAATTTACTCGATTCTACCGCGCCCTCGATTGTAACGCGCACCCCGTTTCCACGACGAAAAAAAAATAAATAAGACATCGATTGCAACGCGCACCCATTTTTCTCGTTGGCCCGCACGATCACACCACTCGGGAAAACGACTCCTTTCGGGGGCGTCTTCCGTTTAAATGTGAGGTACGGGGGAAGCTTGTGCCTATCTGACATGCAACCGAGCACTGCCGTCACTCTAGTTTTACCGTGGCCCGATGTCAGCACGCGAACTTGCTTCGCCCCCTTTTTCTCAACGGTTGTGGTGTCAGGCATGTCGAAGTAAAGAGGCGTCTGACGGGCATTCCCGATTTGCCCAAGCAGGTAGCCGTTGTTGTGCCGCAAGTTTAGGACGAACCTCTGAAAACTGTGAAGCTTTTCATCGTACTCCTCCGGAAACTTTTCGCATATTCCAGTTCGCCTTCGGCTTTCGTCTTCATAAAGTTAGTTATCCAGCACCTGCTCGCTTTAAACTGGCTCCGCATTAGTCCTTTTTCTAAGGCTAACTGCATAGCCTGCACATGGAGCAGTTCTGCCGTCACAGGCCGCTGTTCCGCTCACTGCTCAATCACATACTCGCCGAGCAGCTCTTCAATTTGCGGAAACCAATCCTGCCGTGGTCCACTGAAGCCTTTATCTTTGCTGTCGACAATCTTCTGCTTTTATTTCCGCCAGTCCCGCACGCACATTTCGGGAACTCCGAACGACCGCGATGTGGCCCGATTTCCATCCGTTTCGGCACATGCGATGAAATTTCTTTTAAAAGCGGCATCGTGGTGCACTCATCGAGTTTTTGGAGTTGGTCCTTCTATGCCGTCGATGCTAATGCACTACAAGATGACGAACTCCTCAGAACACGTACGAAGTGCCGCACATGGGAAACACATAGGCAGAAATGGCCGACGCGCCATGCTGACACACGTAAGGGACGGCCATTTTGGAAATGCCGATGGCAATAGAATGACCGTATTCATTTTTTTTCGTACTTGATTCTAACGCGCATGCGATTTATGAACTCGCTTATCCGGAAAAAAAGGTGTGCGTTAGATTCGAGTAATTATGGTAAAACTCAACCCTGTTCATTGAATGAGTGTCATGTACATTTAACAAAATAAGTTGCTATAACATGCCTGCCAAGTTAAGGAATTCTGAATCCGGGAGATTTCTGCAATGGGAGTGGGGGGGGGAGGGCATTAAAAAACTAAGAACAAACAAACAAGAAAACAAAAGGGGGTGAGAGGAGGGTCTCAATCGCAAACGCCAACATCAGAGTTGCGGCCTTATAGTGGCTAGGAGGGGCGGAACACACGAGGGTAGAGTTTGTCACTATGGTGAGAGTCTCAAAGGATCAACACAGCTACCAAAATATATTTCAGTCAAAACAAATCGCGTGTGTCTTCCTGAGACACAGGTGAACGAACGGGACAGCGCAGCTGGCTGCTGCACAAGCGCCACGCATGCTTAATCTAGCGCGCTTATCTTTTGGTGGAAGAACCAAAGCGTTAGTTGCCGGGCCCACAAAGGTCCCTTCGGTCTCTGCACAGGCCCCTTTTGCCAAAACAGAGCGCTTTTCATACACAGTGAGGTATAACAACTGGGACACTTGTTAGTTTGTACACAGTTCTGATAGTAGTTCTGATAGCACTCGGTTTCTAGGTGTCATCTTGGATAAACATCTGAAGTTCCATGCTCATGAGCAGTCTCTTCTTAAAAAGGTTTCTTCCGGTATTCATGTCATTCTGAAAGCACGACCATACTTTCCACCACATGTTATCCTGTCACTATACTATTCTTACATTCACAGCCACCTTTCATATTGCTTAACATCTTGGGGAAACACGTACAACACACATCTAGATAATCTACGACGCCTCCAAAACCAAGTGGTGCGGCTAATGACGTTCAGTCCGTACCTTTGTCGCTCTATCCCCCTATACGTTGACCTAAACATACTTCGCCTTAACAAATTATTTACTTTAAATTAGCAGTCGTCATGTTTCCCTTTATCTATTACGATGTGCGCATAGAAAGTTTCTCACCTGAATTTTTGACTAATAACAATAGAACTCGGTTCTCTGTGCGTGAGAATTTCTATTTACGTAAAGCTCGCACAAACTATGGTAAGTGACTGCTAAATTTGCTGGTGTGTCCGTGTGGAACTCAATTCTTTCTGAAATTAAACAATCTTTCACCACAAGCTCATTTTGCCGACGAACCAAAATACACTTAATCATTGAACTAACTAGAACATGTTAGATATAGATACAATTAAGAAATTGAAATTGGTTATTTTTTTTTACTTTCTGCTTGTTTTGCACTGCTTTGATGGATTGTAAGTTATATGTGTAATAACAGTGTCGCTACTCCTACAGTGTAATTAGATATACACCACCTCTAAAGAAAACATAGTTTTATGTATGGATTAGTTCTGCTCTTCTAATTATTGTAGACTTGTTGTTTTTCTTCGTATTTTTGAAAATTGAGTAAAGTGTTTTCGTTCATTTTGTTCACGCTACACATCGTAATTAGAACTTTGTCACAACGCCAATTGTCTGCTGCATATTATGCATCATCTTATTCACAATGTGTTAGGAAGTCCCCCTGACAGTTTTTACTCTGGGACCTCCTCATGCACTCCGCTTATCTGTTCATTTATATGTATGCTTATACCCTTCAATAAACTTCAAACTTCAAACATCAGCACCTCTGATTACGTATTGCGCATCGTTTTTGTTTAAACAGCGCGTTACGTGTCGAGCGGTAAATGCTGTTAGTCCGCTCTCATACAGCGAATATAGTTTTCGTGCGTCATTTGTGCGTGAGCAGCGCGCTGCACGTTTCAATCTGCTTGCCATTCTCAGCGTTACATTCCAAGCTCTTGCTGTCGCATTTATCGCTTCGCCCTAGCGGCGAGACTGCTACCTTTATTTTTTACGTATTTACTGCTTTTAACCCACCGCTACGTGCCCTCGCAGCTCGCAGATCGGGTCTCCATGACCGAAGTTTTGTGCGCGGCGGTCGCAGCAAACGGCAGTTCATTTTGCAATCCCCATGCGCTTGGCTGCGCAGGCGCCTTCAAAACTAAGTCGTTTTATGTCATCTGTGATAGCATCTGCTGCAGGTTTGTCCGCAGAGTTTGCGGATAGCAGCGTTGCTTTGACTGGGTGAGCGCACACTTTTGAAGTTTTCTGTTACGTCGTCGCCATACATGATCTGTACGATACATGAACAATACATGATCGCCACCATGTATTGTTCTTTTACAATACATGATCATGTCCAGAGCAACCGCGGTTTCATCCTCAGCAGTTGTGGCAATGACAATGACACGCACTGTAGTGCGCCGGTCGACCGCGTACTTCGAAAGCTTCGAGTACGCTGCTCTCGGCCTTCGTTCAATGGTTTCCGAACGAAAGTTCGTATCACCCATCGCAATTAGAAAATATGTTCGGAACATTTGAATTGAGGCCAAATGAACATAGTAAAATTTGGCTGGGGAATTTAAGAATTCATATCTGCCACGGTTTCGCATCACTGAGATTATACTGTACGTTCACATTAACGCCTCTTAAACTCGTTTAAATAAAATAGGGTAGGTTTGAAAAGCCTTGAACAGATTAAGCTGCTTTTTTGTCAATGCAGCCAGATTAGGCACAGAAATTTCATTTCCGGGAGATTTTTATGACAACCGTACAACATGAAAGAACGGTCAAAATCCGAAAATCTCCCGGCCAATCCGGTAGACTTGGCAGGTATGCTACAATAACAAATGCTTACTTTCTTGCTTGTTTAACATCTTCTGGAAATCAAGACCATCTTCTGTCACCTCGTAGATACACACACGGCCTTCTTCTGTACCAGCCTGGAATAACAATAATAAATTTATTAAGGCAGCAAAATTTTTAAATGGCTCAGATGAAATCAGACCAATCCCTTTATTAAAGCAGCCAAATTTTTGACCGGTCAGGTGAAATCAAACCAATTCCTTTAACCATGTAGCACAAGATTTTCTCAAGTGATGCTTCTGGGAAACTTCAATTGCATAAGCTTCAATTTCACGGGGTCAGGGGTATTTAAAAAAAAATTGTTGCTAACAGCACACTCCCGCAACTTTTCACACTAATACAAGTCTTACTGTGTCTCCTCAGATTTTTCAGCTCTTCAAAGGCAATCAGTGGAGCTCTCCAATTTCACAGGCCATGTTGATGAGCCACATAACCTAGGTTCTGCATCACTTCCAACGAGCGCTATGTGTTGGTATTGTATTTTATTTTATTCCCAGTTTAGGAATCAAAAACCGATTTTTACAAATATTTCGTGATGCAGCAACATGCATTTAAAATTTAAAACCGAACATGAAAGTTTCATATTTAGAGTGTGCTCTAAAACTGTCAGGACAGCGCCGACTGTTTTATTTCACTAAAAATGTTGCACTACAAAACAAAATCGGTCCTCTCCCTAATTTGAGCTCACATTTACAGTGCGTGCCTTAGTATGAGCATTACCTCTTGAAGTCCAGTGTTGGGCCCTCCTGACAATGCGACACGCCCATATCAGTACACAGTAAGCGTTGTCTAAGAAGCTTTTATTTTGTTTAATTGCCCACTATTTCTCACTTTGTTGCACCGACACAAGGATGTGTGAAGCACCATCTTTTGAATAAAATAAAGCTTCCTTACTCAAGGTTTGCTTTTTTTTTTACGCTATAGTCAGTTACAGCCTACAAATAAATACAAGCTACACTTTCAAAACTGCAGCACGCTTGTCATCTATGTAAGAGAGACATGCAAGTGCAAGCTGGTTTCCTTTCAAACCGTAATTACAATTTTTGTGCTAGTATAAATGCCACACACCTTGAAAACTAAACATTTGTCGTTCCTGCCTAAAATATCACCTTAGACTGAGCATTGATATCAGAATCTCTGATCAAAGTTGCAAAAATGTTCAATATTTCTACTTAAAACCAGCAACAGGTACATGTGTTTGCACAAGAACACCACAGAAATGAGCAGATGTAATGTGCATCAACTTCTTTCTGAGTGGGACAGTGAAGGCAGTGGGTGTAGCTTGTATTGAGTATTACTATCAGTGACCAACAAGCAATAGCAGCAATCGCTTACTTAAAAGTCAGGAAGCTTCATAGGACTTCCAACAGCGCACTGCTCGCTGCCAATGATGGCCACTTTCTCGTCGAGTACCTTATGCGGCAATATAGTTCAGAAATTTTCAGTGAAAGCGGAGACACTTTCAGCAAGCAAGAAAATTATTACCTGCCTCCATCAGATGACAGATACTGATTCGACCGAAGCCAGTTACAAAGACGATAACAATGGTGCAAATGGTGACACACAAAGCAACAACACAAGACTATACACAACAAGTTTGAAAGCGAACACGGATTATTTCCCAGACTTCGGCCCTACAGCTGGGCATGCAGCAGCTGATGTGGGGACATAAAGAGCGACTACACTAGCAGTACTGCCTTAATCTGATCAAACAGCTGCTGGGTGATGTCAGGGCTCATGAAAAGAAGTGGGGCCTGCATGCATGTTTGGACAGCAAAGAAAGGCTGGATTAAAAAAAAAGCCTCACTTCATTGACAAGCTCTCTGGCCAAAGCAGCCATGACTGCACTGTTTGCAGTAACCACACATGAAAAGAAGGCAGTAAAGTGACCTTATTCTTCAGGAAAACTTGCAGCAATATTCCAAAACTGCACCTAGCAGTGCTTTCATATGCCGCCAAAAATATCAATGAATGATTTGGGCATAAAAAAGCTACAGCAAAAATAAACATGCTATCAGTTTTTCTCATATAGCGGCTCTGTTTCTTTGCCGTGCATAATACTAATAAAATCTTTTCATATCTAAATGACCGAAAAGTGGGTAACAGTTTCCGACTACGAGGTGTTGAAAAGTTCTGAATAAGACACAGTAAAAAATCGGGCTCTGCTACAGTTCTGCTATGTTGAAACTCAGAGACAGTCTATGCTGAACTAGGTTTTTTACGTGACAAGAAACTTTACTGCAGTGGGCTTTTAAGACTGCTCATGATGGCCACATTGACAGTATGTTTGGGACTCTTGATTTGGGATACAGTACTGCAAATGCTTTTGCAGCATTCCAAATTAGAACTTTAGTCAAAACAGGACAAACTAAACTCTTCAGCAAAATATAACAAAAGTACATACAATAACAGAACTGTCATGCTCACTTAGAGAATCTGATAATTACTTTCAAGTGAACACACTAGACAAGGCAAATGCTACCATATGCACAATTTTCAACAGTAAAATGTAACAAAATTATCATGCACTATAAATGTTTACATCCAAATTATAATGCATTCTGACATTATTAACTTATCCCTAACTAATGTTTTGGCTAACCCTCTTTTTTACCAGATGGTTCCTTACAGAGCACAAAAGCACCACCCACAAATTCCATAAGCTATGCACAGGGGTGGACCAGGGCACATAGGTTTAGAAGCAGTCCTGGGAGCAGGCAAGTGCCCTTTGCAGCAGGCAAGTGCCCTTTGCAGCAGGCTTTGAGCATTAAAAAAAAAAAAAACATTTTGGAGAAGGCTAGGATAGGCCAAGAATGCATTTTATAGACAGTTAGGAGCAGTCAGAGAAAATGTTCAGATCACATGTAGCCCCATTTCACAGCACCTGTGAATCAGGATTTGTCCAATGACACATATTTCGAACACCAAGATAAATTGTGGAATAGCTTTATTATTGTGCACACTATTAATGGGTTCTTGCTGTCGCCGCCATGTCTCATAGAAAATGCAAATTAATAACGCACCCCAGCGCATCGCGTGTTCTATCCATAGGTAAAACTGCACAAGCAGGGCAAGTAACGTGGCCGAACATGACCAGCATTTTGGGACATTCGCATCTAGAGCCGTCTCTCGTCAGCAACACAGGTGACCTGCCATAACCAAATGAAAGATAGGCAAAAAAATGATATATGATGAAAAATGCTAGTTATTAAGAACGACTACCGTTTCTATACAGCAGAAGCTTAATTAAAGGGGCAGACTGGTCTTTGGGACCAAAAAGTGACAAAAAAAGTCATTTTTTGAAATGGGCATATTTTGTTTCTACTAGTATTTTTCTATCTCTCTGAAAATTTTCACACACCAGGAAGTGGTAATTTTTTTGTAATCTCATTCTAACTGTCCAGATTCTTGGTGCTGTTAACATGCAGAACCTTCAAAAAATGGGAGACCAACTTCGAGGCTTCTTTATCATTTTCTGGCACCTGTGTTAGAAGCTCTGCTATGAATTTATGAGGACCTTTATGAGGATTGCAATACATTCGCACCATGATTATTGCTTTCTGAAAAGGCTGTTTTTAGTTTTTTTCCATTTCTCTCAAAAAAGTAAATTTACGACTGCTCAATTTCGAGGCCTTAATATCACTGCAGCTAGGGCAGGTCCAACCATAATTCTTTTTGGAATGGAAACCTGTATAATTGTAGAATGCAAGTATGGGAGCAGAATTTAGAGCACAAGCCTTTTTAATTAATTACTCATCAAAGTTGTAACATAATTCCAACTGCTTTTGAATCTGGATAGTTCATTTTGCTGTAAAATAATCAAGAAAGGTCTAAAAACTAAAAAAACTTGCATACTTTCAATCTATAGTCAATTTATATTGGCATATTTTAAATATCACTTTTGATTAAGCACTTTTTTTTCTATGGCGGGTTTAAACAATAAAAGGTTAAATTAAGTTACCTCAGGAACAAGATGAGTTACAGGAAAACTAAATATTTGAAATCAAAAGAAAAAACTGCATAATCCTGTGCAGTTTGATCAAGATCACTGAATAAATAAACAAAAAAATGTCTAAGACCAGTCTGCCACCTTATACATTCTGTCAATATTAGTGTTGCACTACAAACCATGTGGCTTCCCAAAATGTTTAGTATTTTACAATGGGGCCCCATACATTTCCGATGGTCAGTGCACAATTGCCCAGGAAAGTCACATGCTTTCTAATGTGACACTGAAATTTCACCAAAATGTTTGAGCACCTATCTGCTGTGTAGATCCTAGAGTCGGTTTTGATAACTAGCTCACTTTAAAAGATCCAACTTTCTTCACCTATTTCCTAAGTAGTCATGGCAGGACGCCGTTGTTGCCACCAAGAAATGGCACCATGTACAGATTTCCCAAATCCTGTGAATGACAGGGATAAAATGAGCCATCTCGGTTGTTCAGAGGGCGCACGTGATAACATCACCCCACTTAAGAGGCCTGCCGTCAAAGCAGAGGAGAATCACTACTTCTGTCCTGAACAAGCATGAAAATAAGCGAAGGGAGGGAGGGGTGCCACTTGAACAGCAACAGCGAACTTAGCTTCTAAACGCGCAGTCACAATCGCTGGCGTGCATGCACTAGCTCGGCAGCCTTTAGCGTGCGCCTCTTGTTCACTTCGACGTGGTGTGCTCTCATCCCAAAGAGACTGTGCAAGTTCCTCTTCCTGGCATGGCTGTACTCTCTCACACCAACGTTTCGCAGAGTTACATGAGATAAGATCTAAAAGACTTAGTTGTCACCCTTTCTTCGTATAACATTACAATTTGTTGCTATTGCATTCGTTGTTGACCCCTTGCGGTGCCACTGTTATTATTTAGCTATGTACAGCCGCCCATTTTTTAACCTTAATGCGTAAGCGTCAACCACCGAGTCCATAAGCACCATGTAACGATGCATAGCAGCCATAGTAACATGAATACACATGTGCGCTTTATGAGCAGTCCTATGCACCTATCTTTACTAGGCTGTTCCCGGAGCCTGACACCACTGCTCTTTCTTTTTTACAGCGAAAGCTGGTATGAGATCACAACTCAGGTCTCGCGCAGCGTCGTAGTTGTCTGCTGTCACCGCTGACGTCCGTAACCATACTGTGCGAAATGAGAAAAAAGAAACCTAGTTCCAATGACACAGTGGGGCTTGAGCCAGGGTCTGCTGGGTGCCTGCGCAGTATTCTACCACTGAGCCACGCCGGTGCTTGGCAAACTTGCCTTAGGCAGGCTTGATGTCGGGAAAGCAATCATGTTGATACTACATATAAAGCTGTTTAAAACAGTGAAAGAACAACCACTTGTCGCACAATGCGAATAGCATAATGAGTGGGTCATCCAATGCTCAAACCCATTACAAAAGCTTGTTTTTGTTCAGCTATTAACTGTGGCGCATACCCACTTCAGGCATAGTTTCTCATCGTCATCAGCCGCAGCAGGAACAGTTGGCACAAAATTCCTCGCAATAGTTGAGCGGATACCATGCTTTTCAGAAGAATTATGATAAATAGCATAGCGAATGCCGGCCTACTACCCTAAAATTTTTATTAATAATGTCGTAGTGGGCATCAAGCAAGTGGCTTGCAGCAGTTACTCGATGAGTGTGTAGAAAAGGCTCTGAAAGGCCGCTCTTCTAGCTTTCGCGGTTACTGTGCTGCGCGTTCCGCACAGACCTGGCATTTTTTGAATACCACTACCATCTTTTTATTTCTTTTTTTTTTTCTTTTTCTTTTCTGAACGCTGCCATCAAGTTATTAAAAAATCTGAGTTTCACCGCAAAGGAAAAGCAGTCAATCCGATAGAAACATATAGTTTTGTTTCACGGCTGGCAACTATCTCTTTTACATTTAATATCGCGTAACTCTACAAATTGCTGGAGAGATGCTTTTTTAGCACAGTCTCTTCCCATTGCATGAGAGCACAACAAGTAGAAGGGTTTACGAGCTATTCCCACAGATGCCTGCAGAGATAGCGCGCGCTCCGGCGATCGCAACCTTACAAAGAAAGCTCACAGCTGCTGCTTAAGCAATCACGGCCTTGAAAACCACAACTGCAAGTGTTACAACGAAACTGAAAACACGTTGTTTCCCATGTTTTCGAGCACGAGGCACCTTGCCGCTAAATTCGGATGCTGCGACGCAGTATGCCTCCGATAAGCGAATCTGGCGCAGCAGGGGTGGTTCAGAGCAAGATGGTGCAGGTAAACAAGTTTGGTGCACAACGGCGCTTTGCACAGCTGTTCCAGCGCTGTATGCATTACACCAGTCAAAGGCAGTGTTAAAGGTCAGACTGAAGTTCTGCTCTTCATGGATACTATTCCCTATTTATATTCATGAGCATAGTTGACATATAAAATAGCTGGCAGTGAACTCACAGCAAGTCTTGTTTTCTGACGATCCTCCGCTAAGCACCAGGCTGCTCCTGACGTTACTGCAATGGAGTACTGAGGAAATTGGTTTGATTAGCATGAATAAAGTACATTTAAAACTAGTGTACATAAACTGAAGGTTTAGTCAACAGCACAATATTTATCTTAAATTAATGTAGTAACAGCAATTAAAAATAAGGCTAAACTAAATGGTCAAATTATTAAATTATTATTCCATTTACATTTCTTTAAACTTGAACACTGCGTCTCTATTACCAGTTACTCGATCTTAAGACCATTATTTAGATTATTTCAGATGGGCAGAAAGTTACGTATGAAAGACAAACATTTATACCATGCAACTCTGATTCAAAAGCCACCACCTCCCTGGAAATCATGGAATTTTTTCTAATGGCTTAGAAGTCTAAGACAGAATACTGAAGGATACGATGACAAAGCAAAAGTAACACCCACAGACAATGCTTGTGTGCTCTATCTTTAAAGCAGCTTGAACAAAGTTTTTTAAAAGGGCCACAGTAAACAATGTATAAACTATTTTATTCTGATAAACTACCTTTTGAAAACTTGACTTGTTGATTTTATGACGATAAATTCATTATTAGAAAAAACAATGAGGAGGAGTTCTTTTTTTTTACCATTTCCCACTGATAGCAAAAAAAAACATAACAAAAAGCAACGGTACACTAATATGACATCCAAGATTTCAAAAGCAGTTTTTTCCCTTTTGGGCCCCATTGATTTAGTAATTGCCACTGAATTTTTGCATTTCAAATCAAATGGTTTCTCAGTCAAATATAATTTCATCAGTAAAACTTGGATCTGGGGCAGTTGATTTATAGCAATGGGAAAGAACAGCGCGACTGAGACAATAGACAAAACCAAATGGACAAGACCGCAACACATAGGTGTTGTAGTTTCTCCTATGATGCCTGTCAAATTTATGACTCCACATCAGCTTGGTGCTGGAACTTCAAGGTGGCAGCTACGGCACCTATCTAATCTAAGTAATTTATTTCTAGCTTGCCGAGCTGTTTTCCTTATCTTTTTCTTTTAGGGGCAAAGCTCCTTAAGGTCAAGGCTTGCCCGCTGTCTGCGTTGTGCGCTGTAGACGCCGCTGACAATGAAGAACAAGTGGGTTCCAGACCATACATTCTCTTCCTGTCATCATGGCACAAAGTACCCACTATACATCATGATGATGATGACAACAATCACAGATAACCGGCTTGTGCAACACATGGTGTATAGCTATGCTCTACTATCCCTTTTGTATAACTGGAAATAACCACCCATCACGAGGAGAACGTACCCAAACCTGGTCGTTGCCATCTTCAGGCTAGCTTCGATACCACAAAGCAGCAATAACGAAGGCAAAATGGAATTCACAACTCAACACAACATACCAGGTATGACCAATAAACATTGTACATAACTGTACACCACTTGGCACTCATTGACGTGCGTGAGTGGTCAATGTGACGGGTGATTTACAGTAACACCGAACAATCCCCACTGCATTGCCCACTCATCATCATTAATTTCGCTGATATGCCGTGATTTTTTAAAATTTTATTACTTAATTTATTTTTCTAGTACCATAGTTTGATATAGATGCAAACATTTTTCTCTTTAGTGTTATTTTAACACCTTAAGTGCCTCATTTTAGTTGTTTTTTACCAAATGTAAATTTCTTCAGCTTCTTTTTTTCAAAGATACATATTTAAACTACCCCTTCCCCTTTGCAAACACTCCTAAGTATTTGCAATCAATTGGCTTTTTTTTTTGTACAAGTAACCGTTACTTTACCCCTTTACTAAGCAAAGCATTCACAGTTGCATAATGCTCAAATAAAACAATATATAGACTTATGTTTATACTCAGTGAATTCGAAAAAAAAAATTGTTTGATAATAAAATTAGTAGTTCCTTTTGTCATTTATTTCACAATACATAAACCACACAGCCCAATGATTTGCTCAAAAGTAAACAGGCACACAAAGAAAAATAAAAAACCAGATATTAAGTACTGAAAACACCCAAATAACTAGAAATAGGATTTCTGAAAACAGCCACATCATAATAACAACAGACATAAGCAAGAGCAAAAAAGTAAATATCCCACCTTTTGCTCAAATGAAAGAAGATCATATTCTACAATACGACCATGTAGGCCTGTGGAGAATAGCCTCCCATCATGCCATGCCACTGCTTCCACAGAATTGTCTGGATTGCCAAGTATCACCTGTAAAAAGAATGCATGGAGGGCATATAATGAAGCTTTTGTATTATTACAAAGAAAGAGAGAAAGGAAATGTTCAGCAGAAAGTACCATGCAAATAACCTTACCCCTTCGACACATGGCGTGAACTTGAAGCTCCAAATCTCAATAGAAAAGTCAGACCTGAAAACGCCACACCATTTGGTGCATTAGAGAAGATAGTGCCATAACAGTGGTAATATACATCAGGCAAATAATCATGTATTTGGAAATTGGCATATAGTTGGGTAAAAAGAAATATTTTAAGAATCCACTCAAGTGGTTCAGCCATTATGGCATCACTTACTGTGCCAATAAAACGCGGAATTGACTTACACCTAACAAAATGATTGGGCGATAGTGCGTTACGTACTAAACTCATGCCTTTGCTATAAAAGCAACTGCAACACTGTGTTTTAACCACTAAGAGTTGTTTGACGAGGTACAATTAGAAGTACCAATCTTCATGGTGTTTGAATGCAAATGGCAAAAGAATTTCGGTTCCACAGCCAAAGATTCTACCAATAACCCCCTTGAGTACAACTACATTATTTGCTGCATACGACCAACATAAAGCCTCCAAGTGACATCAGTATTAATAACTGCTGTATTATTGTCCCATTATTGAGACCATCTGTATCCACATTATTGTTCTTTTCTTTAGGTGCACAGCACTTGATCTTCAGTTACCATGCCTACTCAAATCAATCAGCAGTGACCAAAGCTGTGAATCATCGATTTTTGCATGTTGATTTATTTTCTCGTGCTCCTAGCACTTTTCTGGTAGTCCCACCACTGAACTCTAGATATCAGCTTGTATTTAGCCATTTGGGCCACATAGTGATTTTTAACAGACATTTGTACAAATCAAAGTGTGTATGTTGTTCAGAAAATTGGCTTGGCTAACGAGCTTTAGAGAAATGCATGCTGCTCATGGTTACGTTTCAGTAACATGAAAGTTCTGTAACTGGAACCTTTGCAAATAAAGTGTCAAATTATATAGTGTTAGCTTTGAAATGTCAGTGCTATGTGGTAACAATTGCCTGAAATTTATGCCACTTATTCACTTAAGAGCTGTTGTTTGAAGTCGGGAAAGATTTATTTTACAAAAAATTATTTCCAGAGGTTTACCGCATGTATAACGTGTGGAGGTGGCCTTTGCAGCCAGTTTCCAGCAGCTTCGGTTTTGCTTCTGTTGTTATATCAGACAGAGGGTCGCATCCACTGTGGTTAGTTTCTCCTACAGCAGCGGTGTGACGGGTGCGCAACTATGCCACAAGAATCGCGCGCTGCTCTAAGGTATCTTGCAGCTGCACATCAATGGAATGATGATGATCTTCGAGTCCGAAGATGACCACCCCTCAACTTCAAGCTCTGATTGCGATGATGTTTTGGGTAAGCCTGTCACATCGACAGCCGTTCAGGAGTTGGTTTAATTTGCAACCTCAAATGGTCTCCTCTGCCGCGCGTGCATAGCTGCTGATTTTTCTGCACAATCTTAAAGCTATTTTGATTACATGCAAGGTCCAACGTCACCGGTGTAAGATGGGCTGGCTGCATAGCTTTTTCTCACGGCGAAAACGACACCTGATTGATATGTGGGGTTTAACATCCCAAAACCACCATATGATTATGAGAGACGCCGTAGTGGAGGGCTCCGGAAATTTCGACCACCTGGAGTTCTTTAACGTGCACCCAAATCTGAGCACACGGGCCTACAACATTTCCGCCTCCATCGGAAATGCAGCCGCCGCAGCCGGGATTTGAACCCGCGACCTGCGGGTCAGCAGCCGAGTGCCTTAGCCACTAGACCACCGCGGCGGGGCACGAAAAGGCCACCTGAGCAGCACGACACGTTTTAGGACTACGCGTGATTTCATGCTTTTCTCTTCAATACTATCTGCAAAAACGCGAATAAATATGGTTGGATAAATATTTCAAAATGCCAACATATGCGAAGAGAGGTGACCAGATGAACTGGTGAAGTTCATTGGATATCTAAATTGTATAGGCATTATTCACGTCAAGGGCATCAATCTGTATAGATACACCCAGCAGGCCCTTCTTGAAAAAAATTATGTGAAAAGTGCACGAGTGCATCTGTGTCCCACGAAAACCAAGATATGCTTCATCACATGGCATGAGCAATAAAGCAGTCCCTCGGTTCAGTTTTTTTTCCTGTCTATGTTATTAGATTTATGCAGGACATTAATTTTTATATCTGTTCCTGGGTCATTCATCTTCAATATGTATATTCTGAACCTTCTTTGCTTTGAATGTTTTTGAGTATCATTGGCTGGCAACCGAAAATTCCATACTTTTCAAATTTTTATGCATTTCGGAATACTTTTGTGGCTTTAAAACATAATTTTTGGTAATAGCATTTCATTATACCTAATTTGGTATGCTCTGGTATTGTTAACTGGCAAAAGCTGATACATTTATTAACTATTTTCTCGAGGTAAGGGGCCCGGCTTGTTTGTCATCCACCTCTTTATGTCACATAGTCACACATTGCTCGATACAGGTCTAAAACTAGACTATCAATGCCCAAAGTAAATAATTCCTACAATAATGTAAACTACATAAAAACCAAGAATTACCATTATTTGCCTAAAATCACACAAAAAAGAATGCTCCTGAAACACGTGTCTGATAATGACCGTGTGTAATAGTAGAACAGCACTACAGAAGTATGGGCAGGACAGAGCCGGGCTTTACTCTTAGAAGATTGCACAATTAAATGGCCATTGTGAGCAATACTCGTAAAGGACTGCGGGAACTGGCTGCATTGTCGCTAGAGCGCGGAATGAATGAATGCGAGTAAGTAACAGTACGACAACGTGAAATTTAAAAAAAATAAAGAGGTGCTATCAATTGAGAACAAAGGGTGGTGGTAGTAAAGTTTGTGAGAGAGGCTAGGGCGGGAAAGTTTACGCCGAAAGGCGAATGAGGTAAGGTTGAGATTATGCTTCCTTTCAGTGACACTGGCCTTAAGCAGGTAATTACGTGAGATGAAACCTGTGGCGCGGTTTTGGACGGCTTCTAGTTCATTGACCAGGGCGCGGTTTGAACTATTCTAATGTACCACGGCAACTATATATTTAGGCGAAGTTCTCTGTTGGTTTGTCGACTTGGTACCGACGGGATCACGAGGAAAGCTTAAGTTGATGAAGGTGGCGGCAGCGAGAGCTTGCTTCTCTTTTGAGCTTCATAAACGTTTTATCACAGCCACAGCGGACTCAAGCGACAAGCACAGCAATACATTTCGAGGCCGATCCGATCAGGCAATATGGGTGCCCAGTCATGAAGAATCCCCATATACTCAGAACATTTGGAGTATTTATAACATCTCTCAACACGCACCTGACTAGAGTAGCAGCGTAGGAACGGTACGCTATTAAAGAGGAGTTGAGGCAAGCGCGTGGGCAACACATGTTCACTCAAGTTCTCCAAAAACCACAAGCATATTACACCAACTTGTTGCAGCGCTAGCGACAGCTACTATAAACCAAAAAGAATTTATATAAAGAACGAAAGCAGCATATACATACCTGACCACAGCTAGTTTTTCAGCCACATGGTTATAGGCCATAACAGTGATGGCCTTAGGCGATGGTTTGAAAAACTTCAACTTGTGAACTACGTACTTTAACTTCGCACATGGCTCTTCATTAAAACTGCTTGATCGCGCCCTCTTACCCATCACCTCAATGTTGTAACAACACGTGCGTCCGCGTGCAGCTTCAGTGACTGAGTGCCGGCATTGTCACAGTATCACCATGCCTACTATGCCCGTCACCCGCTACTATAGTACACTATACCGCTACACCCGCGTTTGATTTTGACCTGGCTTGGCTATGACCGTATGGCTTTGTCTCACCGTTGCCAGGCTGTACAAGGACGAGGTGGCGTAGCCAAAACTTGATAAACTGCAGGCCAAGAGTAGATAAAAACAAACAAAAAACAAGCAAAAATATACGTCACCAAATATAACCATTCTTGCTTACAGGCTTTTTGTTTCATTTGACTACTACAATCTTTTTTTTTTGCAACCGGTTGTTACTGCATCAAATAGCTTGTGTGCGAGGACGTCAAAATATTTATTTGTGCAATCGCCGCTTGTTAATTAAAAAAAAGCTAGAAATAAATTTTGCAAGCGGCGTCTCAGCAGTTTCTTTACTTTAGAAAGTAACCTTATGATGTGAACAACTCTCGCCTTCCGCAACTCTAGCCGCTGTGACTCACAGATGTTACGAATGTTTTCCGGCGTTGTGGTGATCCGGGCATTGTAATGGATAGATTGTGACTTTCTTAAAGGTGCCCTGAAACACTTTTTTAAGTAGCCATGGAATTAATTCACTGGAAGAGCTGATTGCATCACAAATCCATTGCCGCAAAATTTTTAAAAATCCGTCCAGTGCGAGTGGAGTTACAAAGGTTTGTCGCATGTTGCAATTCCATTCTCTCTTCTCTCGTCCCGACAAAAGTGCTGGAAGTCAAGCGGGGATGAATGGAGTGGCAATAGAAAAACGTCACCCGTGCCTCGTGACCTTGAACACTGTTTTTTCTTCGAATGCGCGGCTTCTTAGTGTGATCACGTGCGCATGGATGGATGGATGGATAGATGAATGTGGCTGTACCCTTTAGATCGGGCGGCGGCTAACGCTACCTAGCCATAATATTTAGTGAACTAACCATTAGATTTATTTTTTTCCCTTTAAACAGTGAAGTTGAGGATTCGTACTTTGCAGTGAAGGTTTTAATTTTTACTCATGCCTTGACTTTAGCCACCAATCAGATAACCTTCTTCTAGTTAAGTCTACGCGTTTAAAGTCTATTTTGCCCTCACTGTCCCTAAACCCCAGTGCTTTGAAAAACTCTGCGCCATCAACCTGAACTACAGGGTAAAGCCCTTTACAGAACATTATCAAGTGTTCGGCAGTTTCTTCTTCCTCTCCACGCGCACTGCACACCGTGTCTACCCCTTCGTATTTGGCCCGATATGTCTTTGTTCGCAATACTCCCATCCTGGCCTCAAACAGTAGAGAACTACCCCGAGTATTATCATAGATCCTTTCCTTGGCTATTTCCAGCTTAAAAGTTCGATAGATCTCTAGTGCGGACTTCTTCATCATGCCAATTCTCCACATATCGGTCTCAGCTTCCTTCACCTTCTTCTTAACCGATAATTCTTTTTGGTTTGTCCCCTTGCTGTTTTCCAAGTATTTACCAGTCAATTTTCTGGTTCGCTCCCACAGTGTCTCTCATAATCATATGGTGGTTTTTGGGACGTTAAACCCCACAAATCAATCAAAATCATGCTTCGCTTCCGCCATTTTGCATCGACATTCTTCATGTACAAGTAGCTGAATACCTTCCTAGCCCAACGCTCCTCGCCCATTTCTCTCAATCGCTTCTCAAATTTTATCTTGCTGCTAGCTTCCCTGCCCTCAAATGATGTCCATCCCATATCACCTTGTACTCCCTGATTTGGTGTATTCCCGTGAGCTCCTAAGGCAAGCCTACCTATTCCACTTTGCTTAATTTCTAATCTTCTTGAACTTCTGATCTCATGCACAAGACCGCATTGCCGAACGTCAGACCAGGAACCATGACCCCTTTCCATATTCATCTCACAACATCATACCTATTGTAATTCCACAGTGCCCTATTTTTCATCACTGCTGCATTCCTGTTACCTTTAGTCGTCACGTATATTTCGTGTTCCCTCAGGTACTCGGTCCCATTTCTTATCCATACGCCCAGATATTTGTATTTATCTGTTATCTCTAGCGTGACCTCCTGTATTCTAAGCTCACTACCTTCATTGTCATTAAAAATCATGACTGCAGATTTTTCCTTACTGAATCTGAAATCTAACCTATCTCCCTCATTACCGCAGATGTCCACCAATCTCTGCAAATCTTCCTTGTTGTCGGCCATTAGCACTATATCATCTGCGTACATCAATGCTGGTAGTGCCTGTTCAATGAGTTTCCCTTGTTTGACGAAAGAGAGGTTGAAGCCAAGTCCACTTCCCTCTAATTTGGCCTCTAATCCTTGTAGGTACATCATGAATAACAAGGGTGACAGAGGACACCCCTGCCTAAGCCGCCGTTTCACCTCTGTGGGCTTAGATACCTGTTTTTCCCACTTTATAACTACCTTGTTACTTTTATAGATCTCCTTTAAAAAATTAGTGACTACATCTTCCACGCCTAGTGTGTCCAGTATTTCCCACAATTCCTCTTGAACCACGCTATCGCACGCTCCCTTGATATCCAAAAATGCTAGCCTCAGGGGCCTGTGTTCCTTTTCTACTATTTCGATGCACTGCGTCAGTGAGAACAGATTATCTTCCAACCTCCTGTGTTTCCGAAACCCATTCTGCAGTTCCCCCAGCACCCCCTCATCTTCTATCCACGCCTGCAGTCTTTCCTTTGTAATTTGCATCGCCAGCCTGTGGACCACTGATGTCATTGTTATAGGACGGTAGTGTTTTATGTCAGCATTGTCCCCCTTTCCTTTATAGATCATGCTCATATCCTGCTAAGTTTCCATCCATCGGGGACTTCACCATCGATTATTGTTTTGCTCACTGCCTCTCTCAAAGTCTGTTTAGACTTCGGACTTAATGTCGTTATCAGCATAATCAGAATGCCATCTGGGCCTGTGGATGTACTACTAGTAACCCTCTTCTCAGCCCTTCCCTTCCACTCTCGTGTTGAAAATGGAGCCATTGCGCCACTTGATCCATCCTTGTCTATTGTAGTGCATAAGGCACTTCTTTGTTGAAATTTTTCTGTCACCCTTGTTCTTATGTATTCAATAGTTTCGTCCCCTTCTAGCCTAGCACCCTGAGCTGTAGTTATAAACCTCTGTTCTAGGCTTGTCTAATTTTTTTAGGGAGTTTAGATGGTTCCAAAATTTCGCAGCTGCCTTTCTATCTTTTCTATGTACTTCTGCCAGCCACTGAGCCCCTTTCTAATCTTTTCATTGCTCAGAAGGGATGCTTCCCTTCTACAGCTTAGAAAGATTTCCCCTCTTCTTTCAACATCATCTGTCGATTCACCCCGCTGCTTAGCATGTCTGTGTTCTCTAGAGACTTCCTGACGTTTTGCTATGGCTCTCTTAACTTCCTCATCCCACCAACTTTTGGGTTTGTGTTTTCTTTTCCGGGGTGACTTGTCACGTGCCTTAGCAAGCTCTAGCTCAAACAGTCTAATTAGATTCGTGTATGTCCACACTGTTTTATTATCCTCAGTGATTATTTTCTCAATTTGTTTAGTGGCTATTTCAATTTGCCTTTCTGAATAAAAATTTTCCTGTAGTTGCTCATCTTATCTCCTTCCCACTTTCACTGCTCTTCCAAAACTTAGCTTGATACGTTTGTGATCACTACCCAGACTTCAGGAGCCACCTTCATCTATGTGCACTCCCCTGAGCTTATCATACATCCTATGTGACATCAGTGCATAATCTATCGTCGACTGAAGCCTTCCTACCTCCCATGTTATTTGCCCTTCACACTTCTCGGTACTGTTGCAAATGATCAAATCAAGCCTTTCACACATACCCATGATCATTTTGCCTGTCGGGTCGGTATACCCATCTATATCTTCTATGTGTGCATTCATATCTCCTAGTATAATTATCTCGCACTCTCCTCCTAACTCCTGAATGTCCTTTGATATACACTCTACCATTGCCTGGTTCTCCTCTCTGGCCTTTGCTCCCGTCCACAAGTACACGAAACCAAGGAGTGTCATTTGCCCTGCCACTTTCCCTTTTAGCCACAAATGTTCCTTGCACTCCTGCTTGACCCTTTGCCAGTCTGTACTTTTATGAATGAATGCCCCAATACCACCCCCCTTTCTGCTGCCTTCTGTTCTATTACAATATTCTCACGCGTAGTCCGCATTCTTAGGAGGTTGTTCCATGTCCCTAAGATGTGTTTCTACAAAACCGTATACCATCGGCTTCTCCTCTCTTAGCTGTTCTTCTATCTCTTCCCATTTCAGCCTGTTCCTACCGCCATGCATGTTAATATACCCTATGTCTGAATTGGCTCGGCGCTCGTGCCTACGTTTATTTCTGCCCCGGACTTTACCTATCTTAGATACTGGTGCCACTTTGGAATCGTATCTGTCCATACCACCTGTCAAAGAGTCTCCCTGGTTGTTTCCTTCGTTAATAGCTATCCTGCATCCCGAAGGGATTGCTTTCCCCCAAAAAAAGCTACTGCGCGTCCTGCAAGTCGCCAACCCACCTCATGACCTTGCCGCCCATCGAAGTGAATTCTGCCTCGTTGAAAACCACCCCACCTATGCACCTCTCTGTTTATTTCCACCACCTCAAAGCCTTTCTCTCGACTCATCCGCCATATCTCTTGGTTTGTGTTGATAACCGCTCTTTTCAGGTTGCTATCACGCACCGGTACTTCCGGTATCGTGCATATCGCTACCTGTACCTCAGGAGAAGTGGCGCGCATGTCATCGATGCCTTTCGCCAGTGTAGTTGCTAGTCCTGCTGTATCTTCATTTAAGACATTGTTTAAACCGCCTGAAATTATCACGAGGTTTCGTCTATCAGCTGTAGTTTTGAGTTTTGCGCTCGCTTGCCTCATGACTGCTTCCAGCTTGAATCCTGGGAACGCCCCTACTGCAACCCTCTTGTCACCTCTTACCCTCTCTTTGATGGCTTCAGTGCATCGATTTAAATTCGAGTCCCCGGCGATTATCACATGCTGTGACTTTTCAGCTGGAGCGTCCTGCACCTGGGGGTTACTTGCACCTGTGAC